GCCTGAGACCTGCAGGTCAAACCAGAGCTGAGCTGGGGGGCCCTGCAGCAGCAGAAGCCTGTGGAAGGTGCAGGCTCTCCCAGGCCACTGACAGCTTCCCAGCCCCCTCCTCCTGGCCCTCAGCTGGAGCCCACGTGACAGGAGGGCGGGGCTCCCATGAGCGTCCACACGGGAGGGGATGGGTACATGTTGTTTCACAGCCAGGACAAAGCGCGGAGCTCTCCCGCTCCCTGCATTCCAAAGGGTCCTTGCAGCCCCTGGGAGCTGTGGGGCCGGCATGGCCATCGTCCCTGACCCGGCCGGGGTCACTGGGGAGCCGAGTTCAAGACCCCGCAACTACAGCACTCTCTCTCCCCGCCAGGGAGATGGGAGCTGGACCCCAGGCACCTATGGCAGAGCCTAGGACACTCCTGTTCTCTGTAGACAGGGACCCACAAAGGTGGGAAGTGAGTCGGTGCCAAGGACAAAACAAGACCCAACACAGAACAAGACCACTGCCCCCGGAGTGGAGTTCCAGGCCTCGCCCCAGTTCAGGCCCTGCCCCCCGTTTCCTGCACCAACCAGCCATGGCCACTCACAGGACACTTGGCAGCAGCTCCAGCCAAAAGGCGCGGGATGGGTCTCATTTACCTTCAGCATCGGCCCAGAAAATGGGGCTTCCCTCTCCCGAGAGCAAGGCAGGCCGAGGCCCAGGCCGCCTGGCGCTGGGTATGTGCGCACGGCAGGTCAGGAAGACTCACCTCGCTGCCCCACGGAGGGCGTGTCCTGGCCACCGGCCGCAGGCTGCGAGCCGGGCGTGCTAGTGACAATCTTGGGGACCTGAGGGAAGAACCAAGACTTTAGGGGTGCAACCAGGGCAGCGGCAGTGTATCCCGGGCAAACCCCCTGAACCTGCCCCCTTTTCTCTGACTTCTTAGTGAGCCAGCGCAGCCCAGCCTGGGCTCATTCCCCCCGGTCCCTCTCCTGTTGTCCCAGCCCTTCCTTGCTTCACTGTCCCCAGCTTTAATCAGCGTCCCCTGAAATTCAAAGTAAGCCCTAGTGGGTTTGGCTTGGTGGACTGAGCGTCGGCCTGCGAACTGAAGGGATCGCTTTTGATCCGGTCAGAGGCAGGTACCTCGGCTGCAGGCTAGATCCCCGGCCCTGGTCGGGGTGCATGCGGGAGGCAACCAATCATGGTATGTCTCTCAGAGCCACGTTTCTCTCTGTGTGTCTCTCCCACTCTCTCTAAAAATCAATGGAAAAATATCCTTGGGTGAAGATTAACAAAAAAATGAATACATTTAAATTAAATAAATAAAAATTTTAAATAAGACTCTAGCCCTGTCCAGTGTGGCTCAGCAGATAGACCACTGTCCTGCACACCGAAGCATCATGGGTTTGATTCCCGGTCGAGGACACATCCTGGGTTGCAGGTTCAATCCCCGGCCTCATTCAGGGTGCATGTGGGAGGCAACCCATCGATGTGTCTCTCATATGGATAGCTCTCTCTCTTCCCCCCTTCCTTCCACCCTTAAAAAAGAAAACCAATGAGAAAAATATAGTCAGGTGAAGATGAAAAAAAATAATAGGACTTTAGGGACTCACAGCACAGAGCACACGCCCCAAGGCCCTGAGCCCTCCCCGCCCTGGCCTGCCCGCCTCACCTCTGGCTCCGCCTCCACCACAGGCTCCGCCTCCTCGCTGGGGTCCTCCTCGGGGCTGAAAGCAGAGCAGGAGACACTGTGAGACCCACCAGCCCAAATCGCCCACAGGCGCTCCACCTCCAACCCCCGGGGAGAGACCCGGGAGGGGGCATGTCAGAGACCCTGGTCTGGGCCGCAAACCACAGCCCCCGGCAGGACGGGAGGCCAGCAGCCGGAGCAGGGCTCTGGAGCACCTGCTGCCTGAGGGATGTCAGCTCTGAATGTGCCTCCCCACCCCCATGGGGCCTTGACTCAGGATGGGAGCCGCCTCCCCGCTCCCCCTCAGCCCCTTGGGCCTGGGCAGCCATGTCTCTTTTGAGGCCTGCTTTCCGCTCACCACGGGGCCAGCAAAGCCAGCAGCTCTGCCGTCACCCTGTCCCATCCCAGGCACTGGGCCCTGCTGCAAAGCAAGGTGTGGGCCTAGTGTTAGCGCCGGAGGATGCAGCCCCCAGGCCGGGAGCGCCAGCCCAAAGCAGCGCTGGGCGCGATCCCGGAGCAGGGGGCAGCCCAGCCCCTTCTCCCCGCCCCGGCTGGCAGGTGGCTCCTCCTGGCTGCACTGGCTCGTCCACAGGCCTTGGGATCTGACAACCAGGATGAGGCCGGAGGGGCTGAGGCCAGGCCAGGGCTGACAAGTGACACTGACTGGCAATGTGAGAAGACCTGACCCCGTGCCCCTCACTTCCTGGTCAGACTGGGGCAGGGCCAGGGCTGCAGCGGTGGGCAGTGCCCAGGAGGGAACGGCCGGGCATCAGAAATGCTTCCAATCCTAAGCGCACCAGGACAACCTGGCCCCAGTGTGTCCTCCCAGACCTGGGAAGGCCCCCAAAACCTGGAACTGAACTCACCTGACTTTTTGGGGCACCTCAACATTTAGGAGTCTCTCCAGGTAACTGTGACCTGAGGGGAAAACAAAGGAACAAAAGCTGACCTCAGAAACCAGCCAAGGGCCACCTGGCTGATGGCTCAGTGGTTAGAGCACCAGCCCTCGGACCGTGACCCTCTTCTTGCCACAAATGCAAAGCCAATGACAGGGCCAAGAGGGAGGGGCGATAGGAATGGCTAAAGCGCTGGGGCCTGGATTCAGATCCAAAAGCAGAACAGGTTCGAGAGCAGTGGTTCTCAGCCTGGCTGCACGTTAGAATCACCTGGAAGTCTTTATAAAAATCCTGATTTCCGGGCCTCGTCTTCCAGAAATTCTGTTTCTTTGTTAGTAATGTTGTGGCCCCACCCCATCTTCTTTCACAGAG